ATAACAGTTTATTTATATGAAATTTAATTAAATTTAAATTTATAATTTAAATTAATTTTTAAATCAACTTTTAATTATAGTATCAGTAAGCAGACCTATACAAATTCAATCACATTACAAACTCAATTACTATTACAGAGTAAAGTGAGTGAATATAATTGATTACCTCAATTACGGATTACTGTATAATTGTAATTATTATACAGTAATGTAATCTAATTACAAATGTAATTACAATTTATAATTGAGTGTATTCTAATTAAAAGTGCACAGCTCTGATAGTAAGTAACAGTTAAAAATTACTAATATATTTACAACTTAATAAGTATGGGGAAACTTTTTAAAAACTAAAAATGCATTTGCTAATGAAACGAAAGTGTTTTGTGAAGTAGAAATCAGCGTAAAGGTCTATATGACATATCAAGGAATCAAGGAATTTACTTCTGTTTATTTAATCATTTGGGAATTCTGATAGTATAACTGTAAAGGATTTCCTTCATTGACATTTACATTTACCATTCAATGGCTGCTTAGGACATACTTATATTTTTGCTTGATTGAATTAAAAATATACATACAACATGCTTTTGATTATATTTTTCTGAATCACGAAAACTAACTTCGGATGAAACTATAAACATATTTTGCATAATATGATTTGATGTGCTACCCTGAGAGTATAGTAATGGGCATAGCAATTATAAGAGTATATCTGATGCATACATTATGCAACAATTAACGCATTGTTGCAACAATTAACGCAGAAGATAAAATCCTTCAGTCAATTTGTTTGTGTATATGGTCACTGTAGATACAGTAGCTAAGGACATAGAATATACAATGATATATCGCATCGTAATGCTATCTTAGCATATATTTTCAAAACTAAACCAAAGATTAAAAAAAAATGTGAAAATAATGAGTTATGAAATATTAGAAAAGAGTAAAAAATACTTTTATATGGCGTTTACATTGGCCGAAAATGGCTCATTTTGAATGAGCCATTTGAAAGTGTTTACATTCGTTCTATTTCATTTGTTCTCATTTCAACAGCTGATTTTTCAACTTGCACGTTGATTTGATTTTTGGCCTGTGCCAAAAAAATGTTGCATGAAGGTTAAATATGCCTTCAAACCTTACATTACAAACTTAAAACATATTTTTAACTTCGATTAATTACTTTTTGGGAAGTAAAAGTTCTAAAAAGCCGTGCATCGTTTTCAAGAAAATGCAACCATCAAACATTTGTTTACCTTTTTTTGTAAATATGTTAAAAACAGCTTTTTCAAACAGTCAAAATGCCATGAAGAGCTTTCATTTAGGGTATGTTCAATGGATTCCTTTGCATTTGGAACGTATGTGGAATGCATTCGAACGTCATACAGAATGTGAGAAAATTGCTCATTTTTGTGCTTGAAATTTTATATGCAAGAATGAGCCATTCGATACTCATTTTCGATTTTTGACCAAAATGAGCCATTTTCGGCCAATGTAAACGCCGTATTACTCTCTTCAGTTTCAAAACTAATTGTCATGTTTTAAATAAATACTAACTTAGTAGGCTTTAACCTCAACAAAGTATTTTAAAAGAATAATTTCATTAAGATATTTACTTGTAAAATATAAAACACACAAAACTCATTTCAAATAAATTTAGGCACAACATTGTTACAAAATTTCAGTTCCAATCTGAAACATTTTTAGTAATTGAAATATTACTGAATTCAAAACTTTTCTCTGTCTCCAAGAGAAAAAAGGTTCCATTAGAAAAATGCAGAAAGCGGTGAATGCGTGGACATCCCACAACTCGAAAAATTATTCCCGTTTCGAATTGATAAATTGGGTGAATAATAAACTTTGTATCAATCTTGTCAACGTTGAAGAAATGAAAACTGGATCGAAGTATTGCGAAATGTTTGATTTGCTCTTTAGGGGAATTATTAACCTTAATAAAGTGAAGAAGAATTCCACCTTTGAACGTCACTATATAAGTAATTTCAAGATCTTTCAAAACGCCCTGAGGAAGGTAGGGATAGTGAAGGAACTCGCAATAGTTAAACTAGCAGCAGGAAGCTATAGTGAAAACTACGAGCTATTACAATGGTTCCGCAAATTTTATGAGGCGAATTCTAGTCAAGATGAAGTGGAGAAAAAAGTTCCCTGCCCTTTAATTGGTGATAATTTGGTGACCTCATTTGAACTAAATCAGTCGTTAAAAGAGGTCGGGGTAAAAAGTAAGTCAAGTAAGTCTAGTTTGAATAAGGGCACATTATCTCGTACTATTGTGTCCCTGCAGACAAGTTGTGATGAGAACGTCTATCCCTAAGTAAGTGACTATATCATAAGCACATTCTTCATACAACTTTTACCACCGAATTAGTTCCCGAACATATATTATGGCACATGAAGAAAAGTAAATAAATCCAAAGTGCAAAATTTGTTATTTATTTGGTAATAAAAATGATATCAAAAGAATTTTATTTTATAAAAAATTTTTACAGGTTAATCAATGAGTAATCAACAACAAATTTCACATGGCCATGTTACTAATATGTTATTATTGGATTTCATGTTGTCTTAAGTTAATGAAGTATGCCTTGGGATGCTTTTTTACTACGAGTGATTGGTATAAGTTGAAACCAAAAGAGAACACCACGTTGGTAACATCTAGTAACGTAAGTAATGGAACCTAATATTTTTAATTGAAATTAACTTTAAATTATATCGGATAGGTAGCCGACAAAAGAAAGGCCTGCATGAATCAACATAGAGAAATTTAATAACTTTAATACCTTGAGAAGTGAGAGAAATAATTGGAAGACAACAATAATGATATTTATTTTTAACTGATTTTTATTACTGATGTTGGCCGAAATATATATTTTTATGTTTCACAGATATAAAGTTTACATTCTTTGTCATATATATTTAAATACCCAACTCTATTTAAACATATGCCTCTACTTATTTGCAAAATATGGTTAGATAAATGCAATCAAATGATTATAATGGAAATGTTCTTTGCTCAATTCTCAAAAGCAGCTATGCTGGACTTTTTATTATACGTACCTTGTGAACGATTTAAATTCAATCCTCTACCAACTGATAAGACCATATTAGTCTGGTTTCAGATCTGGCAAATGTACCATTTAACAACTAGCAAATTACTTCTTGCTTTGCTAAGGAAAAAAAATTATATGAGAAACGATAAATAAAACTAAAAGATAACTTTAACAATCTGAAATTTGCGATATTTTTAAATGTCATGTGGTTATGCGCTAAAATTGGGTCTAAAAACTCTAGAAACTGATTTATGCTGACTTATGTTTGTGCTGTAACAGTAGGTGGTCTGAAATATAAAAGAATTTGCGAACATGACGTTTCGCAGATAGACTACCATTGAGATCGAACACGCTACTAAAAATGAACGGTATTCAGGAATATCTGACATCCAGTAGCTTCATTAGCTTAATAATTTTTAGACCCAAACCAGGAGCTTTTTGCGGAGAGACCAGAAACTTGACACTACCAAGACATAATGAAGACTGCAGGATCTTCTTTGACAATAAAACTGGCAGTGGATTTGGCATCATAAATTTCAGTAATCTGGGCTGCATCAAATTGTTGGAGTACGTTGACAAAATCAACGTACTGTTATATTTCCAGGATACCAATCGAATGGCCTTGCAATTCATTTGATTATCTGGGGATAAACAAAACATTGCTGGTTTCTTACGGTGTAACAAATGAACGATCGATAGAAATATATCATGCCATTGAATTGCGTTAACCTCTGCACTGTCACTGGAACTATATCTTTCGTTCTAATTTGTAATTGAATTCGTACTTGGCGATGTTTATAGTCAGATCTGCATGTTTAAGGCCACAAAAAATCACTTACAAATACACTTCGTGCTAAGTTTCAACATCAGCATAAATTTCTACATATATCTTTAGTGCTTCCGAAGAATTCAAGTAATTTGAAGGGACTTGTAATTGCTGCAAGGGCCTCCAAGTGGCCTAAATATGATGTTTATCGGTTGTCGTGAACTCTCGCCGACATTAGATTTGATATCCAAGGTTGTTTTAGTATTACTAAACCCTAACCGTGTAGATCTATTCACAGATCTTAATGTTTGAGCAAAGTCTCTGCGGCAATGGCGAAGCATTGCATATGAGAAAAACTGTTGTGGCAGTGGAAAATTCGGATATGTAGGTAGATATAGGTAGAAGATATAGGTAATTTTCTTGTCAACAGGCACCAAATCAAACAGTCAGCCTGTGCTTCATCGTTATAACATAGAACAAATTGTTTAAAATGTTTTCCACGAAGAACTACAAATGAAAAACGTTTGTACACCGTTAAGAGGATAGGTAAGTATGTAGTTGCTTTATGTAAATCTCTAGTCACAAGTTTAGTTTTTCTCAAGTAGTTGAGATAAAAACAGGATAAAAATTTTTCAAAAATATTGCATTATAGAGTGTTAAGTCTTTATAGAATATGATTCTGTTATAGCAACAATTTCACATCCTAAATATTAAAAAGGATCTGCAGAAAAATATATGTAAGCACTACAAACATACATTTCTTTAAATTAATTGAAAATTATTTTTGTTTGTCTTCCTTTCTCGTATATTTATAAAGAATATAATATTTCAGTTAAAAACTTTTCGCCATCTTTAGTATAAAACCGTTTGTTATTTAGATTAATACTAACCTAGTTGGCTTAAAGTTTAACAAATTATTTCAAAAGAAAAAATTCATTAAGATATTATATAACTTGTAAAATATAAAACACACAAAACTCATTTCAAATAAATTTAGGCACAACATCGTTACAAAATTTCAGTTCTAATCTGAAACATTTTTAGTAATTTAAATATTACTGAATTCAAAACTTTTCTCTGTCTCCAAGAGAAAAAAGGTTCCATTAGAAAAATGCAGAAAGCGGTGAATGCGTGGACATCCCACAACTCGAAAAATTATTCCCGTTTCGAGTTGATAAATTGGGTGAATAATAAACTTTGTATCAATCTTGTCAACGTTGAAGAAATGAAAACTGGATCGAAGTATTGTGAAATGTTTGACTTGCTCTTTAGGGGAATTATTAACCTTAACAAAGTGAAAAATAATTCCACATTTGAACGTCATTATATAAGTAATTTTAAGATCTTTCAAAACGGCTTGAGGAAGGTAGGGATAGTGAAGGAACTCGCAATAGTTAAACTAGCAGCAGGAAGCTATCGTGAAAATTATGAACTGTTACAATGGTTCCGCAAATTTTATGAGGCGAATTCAAGTCAGGATGAAGTGGAGAAAAAAGTTCCTTGCCTTATAGTTGATGATAATTCGGTGTCCTTAATACAATCAAGTCAGCCGTTAAAAGATGTTAGCGTAAAAAATAAGTCAAGTAAGTCCAGTTTGAATAAAGCCACATTATTTGAAACTATTGAGCCCCTGCATACAACTTGTGATGAGAAGTCCTATCCACAAGTAAGTCACATATAGATTAAGCTTCCTTCCACCAACTTATACCACATATACGGTCGCCAAAATTATGTTATAGAAAACTGATACATAAAAGAAAATAAATGGAAATCCGAAGTGTGAAGTTTATTATTTTTTGGGTAATAAAAATGGTCTCAAAAAATTTGATTTTATAAAAAATTTTTGCAGATTAATCAATGAAACAATCGATCAAGGATATTGAATTATGTTACAAAATTTCCTTAAAGAGGAAACTTACTCATTAGCTATTAAAGAATGCCGTGGGATTCCTTTTCAGTACAAGGAATGATTGGTATAAGTTAAAGTCATACGATAACACCAGCTAGTTAGTACGCATTAAAAAAAATAATATAGTACACATAAATATTTCTAATTTAATTAAAACCTAAATTATAGCGTGCTGTAGTGGAAATCTGTGGGAACCTTCATTAGTATATAGAAATCTTTCATTATAAATGAAAAAGCAAGAAGATGAATCTGAAAGGAACTAAAATAAATGTCTTGTATCTGAAAATTTGATATTACTGTTGGAATTCTGTTAAGTTTGTAGAAATATATTTTATTTCAGTTTAATGTTATTTTATTTTGTTTTTTTTTACTTTATTTTTTACATTATTCAATTTTAATTAATTTTATTTTATTTAGTTTTTTCTCGTCATGTTTTATATTGCTATATTATTTAAATTTACCTAATTTAAATAATTTTTAAATATAATTAGAAAACATTCTTCAGTTAGTTAAAAGACCGCAACTCGTGAACAGCAATCGTAAGCGCGAATCGTGACGTCATTGTAATGAAGGTGAAATTTAATAAGAATTTCGTTGTAATTACATTCTTAAGAGCAAATTGAACTATGGGATTTTTGCTGAATTGTTTCGATACAACAATCTTCGGAAACAATATCAAGGAACATTGTGGTATCAGCATGAGTATATACGCTGAATATCAAACGTCAGTTCAGCAGTCCAACTCGGTTACCAATATCACATGACCGGACTGTAATTCAACTATCACAAGCTCTTACCTAGTGAATATAATCACAGTTAGTAAACTATAACCTGCTTTCTCCTCAGCGTTCCAGGTCATAAGATATTAAGTCCTGTATATTATAGTAAGCAAACATTTTCGCTGATAAGCAGCATTTGAAAGATTCTTCTGAGAGTAATTATAAATGGATTTTGTTCCATTGAGACGGAAGGCAGGTGGAGTCATTTTAACAAGAAGGTAAGTCTTTTCAATTTACCATATAGATTCTTTGGATGCAAAGAGTACGTAAGTATACTGTTAAATTATCCCGAAGAATTAATGGAAGTTTTATATTTATTTCAAGTTAAAATCGTACATATTAATAATAATATTTGTTATAATATTGAAAAAACTAAAAATACAATTCCATATTATCGCAGAAAGTTAGCTTATTTCATTTGATACTATAGTGATATTACTTTTATATTACTAGATAACTTATTTGATGTATTTCAATATAATTTAGTTTATAATTAGAAAAAAATTAGTTATTTTTTATACGTTCTTGACTGTTTTTTTCTATATAATAAAATATAGAGAATTCTATCTGCAGTGAATACTCCAATTTATACTCAAGTGCAGCAATTCTTCCAACTACGATTTCACTTCAATAACCACAAAAGTATAAACTTTAAAACCAATTATTTTGCAAACTTATTTTTTTTAATG